CACTAAAAAGTCTCTCACTTGAAGTTGAGGTAGCAGGAATTACTAAGTATTTTTTTGCTAATTTTGATAATACTGGAAATCGAGCTGAGTTATTTTTCCACTAAAGTAAAGGACAATCGTCAAAATAGATTTTAGGCAAAGCCAAATAATTAGACATTTCGTCAATATGAATGGAATCATTTTGAAATATTCTTGCTAACAATGAATTTGATGAAATAGGCCTGAATTCAATTTTTTGATTTTTTTCAGTTAAGTTTTTCATATCTTGGTAAACAACCTTTAATTGTTTATGAGTTATATTACGCAATGATTCAGATGCAAACTCTAATTCTTTGAATCGTGAATCTAATAAAGCAGCCAACATCCCCTATTCTTGTGGAACTTTCCAGTAATGATTAATAAATCGATACAATGCTACTTTAATATAATTTTTAAGGTTCGTACAATTTTGTGGTGTATTAATACAAATTTTTCTATTTTTAGATTGTTTAGTAATAATCTCATCCTCAGGTGCATCTTCATAACTAATATCATCAAAGGTTGTATTTGGATTAGTAAAATCTACAACTTCCATATTATCAGAATTATCAGGTATTAATTTATAGCTAATCACTGCTAAAATACTATACATTAGACTAATGGTTGTGTATGTACTTTCACCTAAATATTCAGTCGTTTCAGCAAAATCTTTCAAAATGATTATTAATTTGCTTATTAATTTCCATTCATCTTCCATTAAATTTATTCATTTTAATCATTTTCCATCTTGTCGCGTTGAAGGATCAGAATCAATCATCATAGTAGATGCCAAAATATCAATAAGATCTTTGATTTTTATTAGACGTTTCCATGCAAGATAACTGGAATTCCATCGGGTCTCTACATCAGCAATCATTCAAAGGTATTCATCATTTTTTTCTAAATTCTTTAATGAAAATATAATATATTAATAAATTTTTTTTAAATATTATTAGGCATTTTTTTTTAATTTTTTTTTATTTATTGTAAAAAAATATATTAAATATATACAATTATTTAAATAGAATACTATATACAATTAATATATTAATATTAAATTAATTAATTAATTAAATACATTTTTTTTAATAAATTACCTCATTATTAGTATGACAAGTTTTTTGGATTTCTATTAATTTTTCAGTCTGTTTTGGTATTGTAAAAAAATTAATTAATCTTTTAGCCCTTGCAATTAAAACTTCAGCTGGAAGCAATCCCTTTCCTACAACTAACTGTAAAGTGTGTGCAATACAAGGGAATCTTATAATTTCGTCCATTAATCTTCTAGCTCGAACCATATTAGAACTATTGTCAGTGGTTATTATAAAAATCTTGCCAGTTAAGTTCTAATTGGCAATAATTTCACGTAATACATTACAAATATGATCACCAGTGTGAGGGTAAGGTATATATTTAACTACTAAAATTGCTTTACAAAAATTAAAATCTTTATCAATAAAAGAACATGTAACACCAATATATTCACTTCGGCTTTGAGCTGTCCATAAATCTGTTGTTATAGAACAAGAAATAGTATGTTCAAACTTTGTTACTAAGACTTCTTTGGTTTGATTATATGATTCAGCTAATAGTTGTTGAATTACTTTATTGCATGGAATTTGATAATTTGAATCAAATTTATGAATAAATTCAGTTAATCCTTCATCATTGCATATACTAATTAGCCGATTGTCTTTAATTAAGATCGCAACAAACTTTCAGTTCTGATAATTTTTAATTTCTGGATTATTCGTAATAATTGCCCGTATCATTTCATCTACACGAGGTTGTGATAAATGGTTTTTTTTCATTCATTCATATTTCTTTTGTGACTTTCTTCAGTGATTCGATGTGTAGCAAGGTGAAGAATAAAATTGCTAGTAGAACCATCGCTTCTCATAAAATGATTGCATAATTTTATGCCATTTTTTCATTGAACCTGAGTCAAACATTTTACAATCCTTTTGTATTGTGCAAATGATTTATATTGATCAAAATATCTCTATATCCAACTTGATCTTGGTGGTTTAGCATTTGAAATCAAAATTAGCTGGTCGGCTACTTTATTCAAATCAATTTTTTTTGTAAATTTGTGTTAGTTTTCTGCTGACTATTTGTATCAGTATCTAAATTTAACTCAATTACGGATGTATTTAAATTTTGTTTTTGTCATTTTGATACTTCATATACATTTTTTTTTGGTCTTTTCGACCTACTTATTTCAGAATCTAAGACTTTTTCATAGTCTTCCTGTAGTATTACAATCCTATCACTAGATATTATTAGAAAAAATTATGTGAAATAATATTACTTTTTTTCAGTTAGTATCGCGTAAAGCATACATTTTATGCATAAATCAGTGTTCAATGATCGGTTATACAAATTACGTTCAGATAATCAGATATCTGCAGATATCCATGGATATCTGCATATCCGTAATTTAATATCCGCTATATAAATTACTTATCTGGATATCTGGATATCTACATGGATATCTGGATAATATATCCATAGGTAAAACCACTAGTTAACAGAGATAGTACTAGTCTTTCATTTGTTAATTAATTAATTATATACACTTCGTTTAATTTCTCATATTTATCTTATTTCTTTTATCTATTATCTTTATTTTTATTTTTTTATGCTTTTACTAAATCTCAATATATAGATTATTTATTTGTAATTTAAAAGAACTAGCATAATACTTAGTATCTTCTGCCAGAATTTTAATTAATTAAAGTATAATCTATTACAATTAAAATAAATATAATTAATAAAGAATAATATGTTATTATTTTGATAAAGAAATTAAAAAATATTATATTATAACTTTATATTTACATAAAAATGAAAAAATTTATTTATATAGATATAAATTTATGGTAAAGGTATTAAATTAAAATTTTCTTTACAAATAAATGTGATGATAATTTATCTATAATAGTATTACGAAAAAATAAGCAAGAATATTCACTGATTATCTTATTTTTTTATTACTAGAATTGAAAAATCTAATTAATAATTAGTTAATGCTTCAGTTTTATAATAACTAGAACTGCTTCAGAAAGCTTATAAATACTTATCTTCAGTAAGGTTTTTATAATCGAAAAGTGAAAAAATTATATAAATAAGTAATAGCATGACGGTTAGAGTTAACTAATATATCAAATGCCTAATACTTACCTAATATATAGAAGAAATTAGTATAAAAATAGCTGATTTTAATCCAATTAGACTTACTGCTTATATACCTTTATCAGAAATTTTACCAAAACGTAATAATAAAATTATAAATATTTAAAATTATGATAACTGGTATTTTGGATAGAATGTTTTAGAGCTTTATATCTGATTAAAATTCATTTAGAGAGAAATCTATATTGCCTATATAGAGAATTTATAAAGAAATTTAACATAATAATATTTCAATTCCAATACTAATCTCAACTTCAGTTTATAAGAAGTTCAAAGAAAATAATCCTGAAATTAGTCTTTGCATTTATAGGTGACATAACCAAAATAAATGTCTTGAGTTTCACTATATTTTAGAAAGAAGGAAGGAAGAATATAAGCAAGTAAATCTTCTAGTAATTATAAAAAAGGAAAAAATTCATTACTGTATAATCAAAGATTTACATAAGCTAGTATATAATCATAGTAAATATAAAGGGTAAAAATATCTCTGCTGATATTGTTTTCATGTATATTCTATAGAGAAAGTATTAAAGGAGCATATACTAAAATGCAAAAATCTAAATAATGCTTCTTAGCAATCTCAAATATCAGTAAAAAATAGAAGCATTAAAGCTTTCTATAATTATAAATGCATGTAACTAAACTCATATCATATTTTCTAGAATCTAGAAATGTTAACCAAAAAAGTTAATCCTAAAAGAAAAAATATAATTAACTTATACTAAAAAAATACAGAAACATAAACTATGTAACTATTACTATGTAATTATTCATATAAATAATTCACTTAACTATAAGATTATGAGTCATAATCTATATAGAGATTCAGATGCGTTTAAAAGATTTATTACAAAAATTGAAAAGAAGTAGGCAAACATACAGGAGGGCTTATTTATGTCAGCTAAAATGATTTTAGTACCAAGCAATCTGAAGACATATAAAGAAATAACTGAATGCTAGATTTACAAGAAACCTTTTATCAAGCTATCATAAGAAGCATTGCAAAAATTTGAAGAAGCAAAGTATAGATTATTAGAAATCAAAAAATGGGAAACATGTATAGAAAAGAAATACTCTAAAAAGAAAAAAGCACAGAAAAGATACTGAAAAACTTTAAATACACTTAATCAAAAAGTAAAAGATCATAATCATATTAATGGAAAGTATTGAGGCTTAACTTATAACTCTTGTAACAAAAAATTGTGAATAGGTTCTTTCGAAACTAAAGTACCTCTTATATGTCATAATTTTAAAGAATATAACTTTTATTCACTTATGAAAATTATAAGTAAGTTTACAGCTGATAAATTAAATTATATCCCAAAAATATAGAAAAGTATAAGGTCATAAATGTTTATTAGCTCTAATTTCTTAATAGCTTCTAATATATAGAAATGGGATTTAATAAATTAGTTGAATACCTAGATGAAAAGCTTGAAAATTTCCCTTAATTGTCAAATATTTACTGAAAAAAGTTATTCAATAGAAAAGATTAAACTTCTTTTTTGAAAGGTGTATTTTCATATGATTAAACAAATTCATGAAATAAATTTAATAGAACAAAGCTTCCACTAAAATTTGATTCTTAACCAGCAAAATATAAGTAAGGAAGATTATGAATATACATAAAAATATGGCAAAAATTTGAGATAAAAAAATTTAAAGAATATCATGATTTATATCTTGAAACAGATGTACTTTTACTTGCAGATATTTTTATAAACTACACTATCATGTGCTTAAAAAATAATAATTTAGATTCTTTTCATTATATATCTGCATCAAAAATGTTTAATGATTCTTTATACAAAAGTAGTGGAGCTGAACTCAAACTCATGACAGATATGGATAAGTACTTAATAGTTGAGAATGGTATTTGTAAAGGAATAACAATAGCAAATTATCAATATGCTAAAGCAAATAATCTACAGTATTCTGATTATAATCCTAGTAAGCCAAAGTCCTACATCTTATATAATAATATAAATGCCTTGTATTCAGAAGAAATGATCCAATACATGCTTACAGAAATCTTAGCTAAAGTGGATCTATTAGATATTCAAAATATTACGTCAAATGCAAAAATAGGCTATATACTTGAAGTTAATTTAGAAACTCTAATGCATTTGCATGATTTTTTTGCAGACTATCCATTAGTGTCAGAAAAGCAGAAGTTTCAGAAAACTGGCTTAGCTTATATAATGAAAAATTAGTACATGATAAAGAAGTTAAAGGTGGTAAATATACATGAAAAGAAGTTAGTTTAGACTCTTTTTATTAAGAAGAATTATGTAGTTCACTATTGAGCTCTTTAAACATATATAAAATTCAGAATAAAGGTTACAAAAATTCATAGCTCTCTTAAGTTTAAGCAATTTCTATAAATAAAGAAATATATTAAGAAAAATATTCGTAAATACAAAATAGCTAAGACATATAGGAATGAGTTTAGGGTTATGTATTATAAGTTAAAGAATAATACAGTATTTAGCAAACAGATAGAAAATGTTTGAAAACTCATGAGAGTAGAATTACTCTGAATAGAAGAGGATAAAAAATTAGGTGTCTAGTAAGCTTTCCATTATTTGTGAGTTTTAAACAATTTGAGAGAAAAATTACAGCCATTTATATGTTAAAAGGTATAGTAACTTTAAATAAACTAATCTATGTAAAGCAAGCAATTCTTAACATTAATAAGGCTATAATATTCAACTTTTGGTACAGTTACATAAAGCTTCACTATAGAGATAAGGCCTGTTTACTTTATACAGATACAAATTCACTCATTATGTAAATAAAAACTAAAGACATATATAAAGATTGAGTAAAAAGACCAGACATTTTTGATCTAGACTATTTAGGAGACTTATTTTTAATGAAGGATGAAATAAAAGATATACCTATTGGAGAAATAGTATGCTTAAAATCAAAAATGTATTCTGTTCTTTCAGTTAAACATGATCCAAAAACTCTGACAATTCAGATTCTAAAGATTTTAAAAAAAAGTATAATATCCAAAATGTAAAAAGTGTTAAGAAATGCGTGATTAAAAGAAGCTTTAATATTACAAGTTTCTAGAATATCTTAGAAATAAGAAATTAACTTGACATGATAATTATGGTTTATACAGTTATAATTATCAAATATATTGTCAACAGAGCAATTAACCAGTCATAATGAAGTCACGTGAATGACACAGTATGACGATCTCTTAATTCAGAATTCTGAAAATACTGAGAATTCTGCGAATTCTGGAAATACGGAGGATCTGCGTAACTCTGAAGATCTTCCAAATACTGATAATAATCATGAAGTCTAAGGATATTTGGTGTTATACGTATTTTTAATATTCTATATTTTATTATTATTTTTATTTTATTTTATA